GTTGGAATTATCAAAGGTTTTTGACACCTGAGAGACTCCTTTGCATTTGGAAGCGGGGGGTGGGGGTGTGGGGAGGACCAGGGAGGATGATTCAACCACTAGATGTCGCTGAAAACAACAAATCCTACACACTGTGCCTTTAAAGTAAAACCATTAAGAGTTCTCCAGAACGACTTGCAAACTTCTTTGGACTTGGTTGGTTTTTCACCACTTTGTTCCTGATTGTGGCAACATGTTGTACGATTTGTGCTTAAAAATGTACAAGTGGACAGTTGAGACAAAAAGAAAATTAAAACCACCTCTCCACAGTAGACGGATGATTCTAATCATGCCTTTAGTTCTCTGAAATTCCTTTAACTTTATCACAAAAATTGATCCCCAGGAGAAAAATCACCTTACACAACTGCTGATGAATACTGTTTAATGTCCATAACACACCAATCAGTCTTTAAAAGCCATCTCATCTCAGCCTTTGATATTTTTAAGAAACTCCAGCCACAAAGGAGGGGTTATTTCCAGATAGGCTGCAGCCTGAATGGAAACAACAGATACTCCTGCAGAAGATCGTAGCTGCAGTGCATCACATAAACAAACTAAACTAAAGTCTGAACTCTGTTTGGAAACAAAGTTCAGTTTTGTWGCTACTTGAAATAATAATGAAGTGACATTACAGCATCCCTGAAACATGAACCACAGCACCACCTACTGGGCTAACAGGAAAATCATGACAGACTTCAGAGTTTGAATTAAATTTTCAGCTCTTTCATTTTGTTGGAGATGAAATCCTGTCGATCTGTAGGAACGTCTGTGTTTTGTTTTGCTTCTAGGTTCAACTAAAGGAATAAGAGTAAACTGTGCGAGTGTGACAGCCTGCTGCTGCTGAGCATTAAGTGTTTTTGCATCAGTCTGTATTAAAGCTGCTGGTTGAGCCCAGATGAACCTATTTCTGCTGAAACTGGAAATCTTTTACAACCTTCTGTTTAACTAATAATTCATCTTTACATGGTCATTCATTAACTACAGTGAGCTGTTAAGTCTGTGGGGAAAAAAAGAACTTCAAAGATGAAAATCATTTTCGTGGACTAAAGATTTGAGTAAAACTAAAATTTGTTTCTTTTAGTTGCAAACATGTCATAAAATGAAGTGTGTTTTATAATGGGTTCTGTTTGTTTTTCTTTTACTATTAGGAAGTAAAATCCACCAATGACAACACTTACACCTGGTTACTTTTACGGTCTCGTACCTGATCGTAGTTGTCCTGGCCGTGAAAAAAYGGCTCTTTCAGAAAGATCATGCTGGCCAACATGCATCCTAAACTCCACATGTCCAAACTATAATCGTACATCTGCAAACAGAAACAAACACCATGAAGGATTTCAGAGAGCATAGCGCCTGGTGGGGAGCTGTGCTGTGGTCTAAATAAATCTACCTGATAGTCCACGAGCAGCTCAGGGCCTTTGAAATAACGAGAGGCCACCCTCACGTTGTATTCCTGAGCAGGATGGTAAAATTCAGCCAAACCCCAGTCTATGAGACGAAGCTGTGACATGGAAACAACAAAACACACGTTGTTATAAATAAAGCAAAACACTGAACCTCAAGTGGCTAAAACTTTTTTTGGCAACTCAAATTAAAGGAGTATTAAGCAAAGTTAACTACTTTGATCTTTATATTATGTTGTATCATTCTTTGATTAAAAACATAGTGTTGCTTTGACCCATTCATGTTTGACAAATCCTTGACTCTCCTGTGGTAGTCATGTGGAGCTACCTAAACAAGTGTTAGTACAAAGCTCCTCCCTGTAGTTCAGTCTGCAGCTGTCCTCCGCCCCACAGAGAACCCCTCCCCCAAATCATTGTTTGAAACCGTGCTGAAGTGGGAGTGTCGGAAACGGTAGGAGGTTCTTAAAGTCTAATTTATTTGGATTAGGGTTGAACGATATCAGCATTAACATCCATATCGACCCGATAAGTAAAACCGACACTGATTTCCCACTTGTTGCCGTTTGTGTTTCTGTTTCAGGAGGGGAGACGGTTGGTCGAGTGGTATCTGTTTGATCATGATGGTGACGCTGCACAGCCAGGAATAACTGAAGCAGAGAGCCATGTCATATAAATAATTAGTGTGTAATATTGGTAAATATAGGATAAAGCAATATTAATACTGGATATCAATATTGGCTGAAATGTTCATATCGGTGCATCACTAATTTTGATATCTACAGCATTTTCATAACAACCAAAGGCAACATCTGGATTGTGGTACAGAACTGAATTCTATCCCTGAAAAATACATAATACCTCCCTGTGAAAACAGATTTTATTCTCTTTTGTTGCATTTAACCATTTTATAAACAAAAGACATAAAATTTGGCTCAAAGCAAAACAGATGTTTAAATGTATTTTAACCTTTATTTAACCAGACAAATCTCGCTGAGATCACAGATCTGTTTCTGAGGCAGGCCTGGGCCTAATTATTACTCATGTTTTTGGGACCGGAAGACTCAGAGAAAACTAATGCAAACATGATAAGAACATGTAAACTCCATGCAGAAACACTTCTGACCCAACCTGGGGCTTGAACCCAGAGTATTCTTGCTGTGAGGCAACAGCGCTAACCACTAAACCACCAGGCTGCCAAACTGAACTAGAATTAGATCCACAGAGGGTAATCTGTCACAAATAAGTTTGACTCTTAAAATTAATTCCATGTTTCTGAAACATTTTCTTTTCTAAATGTTTTGTGGTAAATAAAATATGTTCCCTGTTAAATTATATAACAAAAAGCACCTGCTTCATTCCTGATCTGAAACTAACGCCAGGTTCACAAGGTAAGACAATTAGGCAGATTTTTGGCCCCATTTTGGTGATTATCATGATGACTAAAGATCATTTTAGTAGATACTGCTGTCATGTGTGGTGTTCAGAGGGATCTAGATCTCTAGACCTAGACCTCTAGATCAGTAGGACAGTTTCTTTCTCTTTTTTTTTTGTTGTTCTGACATGTTTTGTATTCTTTTTCTGCTTGCAGAATCATTTACTTGATTTTACATTACTGTATGTTTTATGTTGTGCAGCACTTCGGCAGCCATTGGCTGTGTAAAGTGCTATACAAATAAGGTTGTGATTGATCTAGTCAGCTCATAAGGATGTCGGGACCCCTCTGACCTCATATCAAGATATTCAACATGCTGGATTGTCTTGGCCCAATGTCCCAGCGTGTGTGTGGTGTTGCCCCGAAGACAAACAACAGCCTGTTGAATGTGACGTATAGCCAATCAGAAAGTGGGGTGATGGAAACACGGAGGGGAATCTAAAGCTGAAAGACAAGGGGTCGGATTTATAAAGCTTGCGTACGCACAAAAGGAGCCAGAAACTTGCGTACGCCACTTTTCACACTAAGGTTGTGATTTATAAAATCCAAACTTGATGTGAAAATGTGCGGCCCCTCAGCCAGCTCTGACCCATGCGTACGCTCATTTTGGAGACAGGAAGCTGCGACACAGATGGTGAAGTGAGGAAATTGCATCAAGACCACTGTCTGATATTTAATTTCACTTCATAATCAGACTTGAGGCCCCCACATACTCGGGCGTACCGTTGCTTCATCCTCGTCTGCCACTTTTGTTTACTCTGAACTCACGTTTGATCTCAAGAGGTCTCCCAAGACTTCATGAGTGAAATCTGTTGCTGTGGTGTGTTGTCTTTGCTGTGTGGCTGTACAACACACACGGTAGGACCAAACCTGTTATATCTATGACTTTCTGTGTGGGGCCTCCCAGTCTTTGAAAATCAGCTGATAAATGTAAAATCTTGCCATGTGAACCAGGCATTAGGTTCACCCATTTGTGTTAAAAAGCCCCAACATGGTGTAAATGTGTCAATGATTTACGTCATTTCATAATGTTTACGTTAAACAAACAAACAAACAAACAACAATAAGACTAATTAGTACCTTCCTCAGCTGGTGGTCGATCATCACGTTGTGGGGCTTCACGTCTCTGTGCATGATGCCCATACTGTGACAGTAGTCCAGAGCCTTGAAGAAAACAAACAGACTTCAGCAGCAAATATGTTTCAAAAATGCACAGATTACTGAGTTTTTAACTTCTAAAGCTGCAGCTGACGGCATAACACACAGTTCTGAGTTTTAAAGGTTTACAATGATTTCTCCTGCTGGACATCATCTGGCTCTTCAAGAAAAATATGTTTTTTTGTTTTGTTTTGTCCTTCCATTTCGTCTTACTGGAAAAAAAGTTACTCGCTACCATACCAAAATGTGTTATATTCTGTATTCTCTCACTTCATTAGCTGAAAACGATGTTTGTAGATGAAATGTAATTAACACCACACAGTAATACATCTGCAACAAACATGGATGTGCCCCCAAATATTTGTCCCCMCGGAGACTCTGCAGCCTGAACCACCATAATTAATATGATCAGACTTGTTCCTCATTGTTATGGCTGAGAACTTGCAGCTTTTTTAATATTTCTCATAAAGAGGAGGGAGCAGGAGGAGTATCTTACTGGCCTGCATTTTTAAGGCAGTCTCCAAAATGTCTGGGAAACTTTGTAGGAGTTCTCAATTTTATCACAAGCCATAAGGTTTAAAACAGAGAATGAGAGTCGGTGTGTGTTATCATGTGTTCTGTCTGTGTAAACAAATGCTGGTTATGTTCTGACGTAAAAGGTAACACCTCCAAGAGGCTAAAAAGTTGAATCTTTATTATAGAAGTGGAGAAGAAGCTTTAGAAGTGCTTGTGTGCAGTCTCTCCTTAGATCARCTGGGACAGACTGGGCTGTTTAGTTTTGGTTTCACATTAGATGAAGGTCATTTTACTCTGAGGCCTGCTGACTGGAGCTGATCGGAGTGAGAGACTGGAATAAAGTTTTTTTAGAAGAGATTGAGCTGGTTTCTGATCTATTATTCAGACTTCCATTTAGAATTTTGTTGACTTTAATTTCACAACTTCAGAAGTGATACACACACACACAGACATATTACCTAGTGTAAACACAGAGTGCTGCATGTGAACTCTTCTGTGCACGCTGGTTAATTCAGGACCGTGGACAGTTCACACTGGAGCCTAAAGCCTACAACCCCCGCCAAAAACTATGGAATCACCAGTGTTGGATGAGCACTCATTCAGACATTTCATTCTGTAAAACAAACTCAGATCAAAAACATGATACAATAATAAGGTCATTCCAAAGTGCAACTTGTTGGCTTTCAGGAACATTCAAATAAATGAAGAGAAAACATTGTGGAAGTCAGTGAATGTTACTTTTATTGACGAACAGGGAAAAAATATGGAATCACTCAATTCTGAGGAAAAAAAGTATGGAATCACTCAAATTGGAGGTAGAAAATAAGGACACTCCCAGTCAATTTCCTTTCCCTAAATGGACACCTGCCTCAGATTAGATCTGCTCGTTAGTCTGCAGTTAAAACCACCTGCAGTCATGACACCTTGGAGGGCTGCTGGGCGAAGTGGAGTGGCAAGAACCATGGCTCCAACAAGAGAAATGTCTCTTGAAACAAAAGAGGATTGTGAAACTTCTTGAAGAAGGTTAACTCTTCACACATGGTTGCTAAAGATGTGGGCTGTTCACAGTCAGCTGTATCCAAGATATGGACCAAATACAAACAGCATGGAATGGTTGTTAAAGCCAAGTGTACTGGTAGACCAAGAAAGACATCAAAGCGTCAAGACAAACAACTTAAGGCCATTTGTCTTGAAAACCGAAAAAGTACAACTAAACAGATGAAGCATAAATGGGAGGAAGCTGGAGCCAATGTATGTGACCGAACCGTAAGAAATCGCCTAAAGGAAATGGGATTTCAATACAGGAAAGCTAAAAGAAAACCATCATTGACACCTAAACAAAAAAAAACAAGACTGCAATGGGCTAAGGAGAGTCAATCATGGACTGTGGATGACTGGATGGAAGTTATTTCAGTGATGACTGAAGAATCTGCATTGGACAAGGTGATGGGGCTGCATGTCAGGCAAAGGCACTGGRGAGATGACTGTGGTTCATTCTTTTATCAATGCACAAGTTTACATTGACATTTTGGACAGTTTTCTCATCCCTTCAATTGAACAGATGTTTGGAGGTGATGATATAATTTTCCAAGATGACAATGCATCGTGCCATAGGACAAAAATAGTGAAGGCATTCCTTGGAGAAAGACACATTCAGTCGATGTCATGGCCTGCAAATAGTCCAGATCTCAACCCAATTGAAAACCTGTGGTGGAAATTGAAAAAAATGGTCCACAAGAAGGCTCCGACCTGCAAAGCTGATCTGGCAACTGCTATCAAAGAGAGTTGGCACCAAATTGATGAAGAATACTGTTTGTCACTCATCAAATCTATGCCTCAGAGACTGCAAGCCGTTAAAAAAGCCAAAGGTGGTGCAACTAAATACTAGTGATGTATTTTGAATGGTCTTTTGTTTATCTGTTTTTCATGATTCCATACTTTTTTCCTTAGAATTGAGTGATTCCATATTTTTTCCCCTGTGCTTGGTCAATAAAAGTACATTCACTGACTTCCACAATGTTTTCTCTTCATTTCTTTGAGTGTTCCTGAAAGCCAACAAGTTGCACTTTGGAATGACCTTATTATTATATCATGTTTTTGATCTGAGTTTGTTTTACAAAATGAAATATCTGAATGAGTGCTCATCCAAGACTGGTGATTCCATACATTTTGCCAGGGGTTGTACTTCACACTCCCTCTGAACTGCAGGAATCAGCTCGGATTGTCGCAGTTTCATGATGAAAGTGAGATCAGTGTGCTCTTAGCGCTGACTCAGCCGCCCCTTTTGGCATAACCCGCAACTGGTTGTGTGATTGGTCAGAAGTTCGTGGGAGTGTTTGTTCGTGCTCAAAGCGCTCGGACGCATGAATAAAGGTAAAACAGACGTTATGAATTTTCTTGAGAAAAAATAGCAAAAATATATAATTTTGAGTATTTACTTCAAATGCACAGTCCACACAAAAAATACAAGAAATTATGAGGTTATTTTTGTTACTTTATTTAGTTAGTCTTCTACAAAAACCACTGGAAACATATTTACCAGTGTTCTGCTTCAAAAACTACCAACAAACATTATAGAAAAATATCATTTCTGTATTTTTGGTGAGGACTGTTGGCTACATGTGACATAAACAACTCAAAATAGTTATTTTTCCTTTGGAAAAACACTGGAAAATATATTTATTGGTAGTTTTTGGAAAACCACCAATAAATATTATATAATAATAACTACCAATGTAATATTTTTGGAACCCAGTAAACTCATCTACTGGGCTATCATGAAGGTGCCCAGGGAGCAGCTGGAGGTCCACAGAGGGGAGATGTAAGTCTTGTGGGCATATTTTATTTCTTTAATTTTTGCCATTTTTGTTTATAGTTATTTTTCCTTTTTTATTATTTTTTAGTGGGGGGTGGGGTCGTATTTTCAGGATTGGTTCCCTACAATATCTGTTTTTCTTGTAGTTAAAACATATTTAATTTAAAGGGTTCTGATTGGTAAGCCGCCCTGCCTGCCTATAATAGGGCAGCTCTTTTTCCACTCTTCCCTTCCCTGCTCTTTTCTTGTTGTTGTTGCTGATTAYACTCAGCTGGCTGCAGGTGAGTCTGCTGTATGCTGTGGGCCTCTGCCTCAGCCCACCTCAGCCTGCCATGTGTTTTGAGTTTTGTTGATTCTTAGTTCTTGTAGTTTTTGGCCTGGTGGGACCGGTCATCTTCTTTTCATGAGTCTGTTTTTTTTATTGGTAGGTTCTTTTGGGGGTTTTGTTAGTTTAGTTGGTGTGGCTGAGGCTTTGATGGCCCTGTATAGGGTTGGCCCACTGCCACAACTGTAGTTCTGTTTTTAGTTAGTGTGGGACCATGAAGATAAAAGTCCTTAATTTTTCTTCTTTTTTGCAGGAATGTTTTGTTTCCTTTTCTTTTCCAGCAAGTTGTTTTTTAGAAGACAAGACAGCATATTTAATAAAACAAAGATTGAACTTGAATTCTGTTTTTGTGTCCTTCTTAAATGTGTTGTGAACCTTCTGTCTTTTTACGGGCCATACATGTGCTCATGTCTGAGGACTCAAACCTGCAACCTCCTGATCACAAGCTTGTCTTCTCTAAGCTCTGCACCACCACACCCTCACCATGCAGGGCTGTTTGAGGGTCCACAGATGACGTCTTTCAGTCTGGTCTGCGGCTCACAGAGATTTCTCCAAATTTGTCACATTTTTTGAMAATATTACAAAATGTAGATGATTCAAAATCTTCCCAATGTTCTACTGAGCAACATTATTCTCTATTTTTAAATAGGTGCTTTTGCAAACTGATGAATCTCTGCCCATTTTCAGTCTCTTTTATACCCAGTCTTCTGACACTTTGCCAAATAACCAAACACTCCTCCAGCGGTTTGTAACACTTACTTTTTACAGCCTTTTACTGCCCCGTCCCAACCTTTTGAAAAGTGCTGCTTCCACAGAATTCAAAACTTCATTTCCACTTAAAATTTGCACATTTTCTTAGTTTGAACATGTGATGTTTACTCTGATCCACTCTAAGTAAAACAGGGATTATGAGATCTGCAAATCAATGTATTCTGTTTTTATGTACATTTCACATAATGTCCAACCTTTTTAGGAACTACAGTTGTACATATTGTCTTGCCTAATCTGTTTTCTTGGAATAAAAACTACTGTATTTATTCATGTATAATACTAGAAATTTAACCCTAAAAATTAGGGATGTCCCGATACCACTTTTTCACTTCCGATACGATACCGATATTACAACTTTGAGAAATGTCCGATACCGATATTGACCGATACCGATATTGACCCGTTACTGTAACAGTGCAAGTCACACACTTTTACCTGTTTTGTACTGTAAAATCTTAGAAAAATCTTGATCAGATCAAACAGTGAAAAAGAGTAGGTATGAGAAAAACTGACCCATTTATTTTAAACCAATGGATGACATACATTTTACACTGAAGAACATTATACAATTTAATAAATAAAATAAATTACAATACCCTGAAAAAATAAAATAAAAACAAAATGTACTTTTACAGTGTAAAATAATTCAAAATCACTCCAGTTATTTTTTTTTACCATCTGTCAGCCTTGTGCTGCTTTATGGTGGGGATAACTGAAGGTGGGGACAAAACAAAACCCCACATTATTGTCTGTTCAAAGTTAAGAGTCCACAGCTCCAGTTTTACTGATTGTAACTAAAACAACGTGATCATTGCACTTAATCTTCACTCAAGTGTGTAAACAGATTAAACATCACTCTAATAACAAGAGCAAAAAATAAATAATAAGAATTAGTTATTTAAATTGATAGCTACCTTTCTTAGTGCTAAATTTCCACTTTCTATAGTCTGAGCATCATGTGGAGATCAGCTTCTCTCTCCTGTAGGGAGCAGTTTTTATCACTGCTCTCGTCATGTCGCGCTTAAATTTCAAAACAAAAGCTGCGCTCTCCTTTCTTCTGTCCATCAAGAGCTAATCCATGGATGTCAAAACAAGCGTGCTGTCCTCGCTTCTGCCCGCTTAGAATCACCGACCGGACCAGAGAGGAGGTTCCGAAACAGCGCGGCTGTGTGCGGTCACTGGACCGAGGCTGAACCGAGCCGAACCGCAAAGCTGCTGCCAGGGTGGAGAGTAGTTGTCGCTCCGGTTTAAAACGTTCACGGTTCTGTGTTTCCCCTCGGAAAACTTGTGCATGACAACTTTACACTTAGCTGCAACTCTGTTTCTGATGAAAATAAAAAGTTCTGCTGCCGACATTCTTGCTAACTTGTTAGCGCTGCTGTTGTTATGATCACGTGAGTGCTACAAGCAGGATCCAAGCGCTGCTGGATAGAAACACTGGAGCGGAGTCAGTGAACTGCTGGAACGGACTGCTAATATCGGAGCGCTTTTATCGGACATTTTTTATGCAGGCCGATAAAATCCGATACTCGTTTTTTGGCTGATATCGGACCGATATCCGATATCGATATCGGATCGGGACACCCCTACTAAAAATCATCCATAAAGTTGAGGGGTTGGGGGGAAATAGTATTATAAACGGCTTATTGATGATTAGAACTTTAATGCTTTTTAACCTCAAGCCCCAAGGGGTTTTCTTGATGTTTTTGCTCGAAATACCATGCTGAAATGTAACTGAGTGTATCTCAGAATTTACAAACTCTACTAAAATAATGTTGGTATCAAAATAAAGCTAAAACTTCGGAGATTTCATCAGAAGTGTAAGTATTAAAACAGTTGCTGTGGTCTTAAGAGATATTGAGGGTGAATTTTTTTTTTACATTTTTTTCCATTAGACAGTATATAACCCATTTAAAAACTATAATGAAGTAGGATAAAAGCTCTTGGAAACCATAAATCCACTTGTGGACATTATCTGTGCAAAGATTCATGCTGCTAAAATCAACTGGAATAAAGTTACAGAGGTTTTAGTAAAGAAATTATTTTGTGTTTTGTTATTCTGCACAGGACAGACCATGATAGTACCATCAATAAATGTTAGTAAATGCTAAGGTTTTATTTGCAAAAGTTATTTATTTTTTCTTACCTGACTGAAAAGACTTCTTCCCATTCCTTTTCAAATAAGTTAATTTTGTTATCACTTTTTATCATTTTTTGTTTTGTTTTGTACACATGTTTGAAATAAACTAAACTAAAAAAAGTAAAAGACGTTATTGAATGTTTGTTCTTTTGAACAATTATCCAAACATTTATTTGTCACCATACATATTTTATAAAATAATGACAAATTATATTTGACTTCAGTTGGATCATATTCACTCAAAATCAAGTAAAAAAAACTTTCAACACAATTTATTGCATACTTTTGTATCTGCTTTGACTTGCTTTAAAAATAAATGTCTTTTTTTTCCTTTACAGATTTGCTTGAATTTATTTACAGATTTGGAACAATCCCATTTTGTACGGTTTGTTTTCTTTCTCATTCAACTGCCTGTCATTTGAACTGTGTTTGGTGAATGTAAATATAGTCTCCATGAGGTTTTAGCCAAGATTTTTAGCTTTCTATTGATACCAAACATGTCCAGGTTCAACTGACAGAGGTTAACAGAAGCTAAAAGATATGGAAAATGGGAAATACTGTTTTGCTCCTGGTACTGGGAGCATGGGGCTCAAGAGGTCAAGCTCAAAAATAATGATCGTATTATACATGAATAAATACTGTAATAAAGTCTTACCTTAAGGAGCTCATACATGTAGTAACGGATATCGTAGTCTGTCAGCTTCTGGTAAAGCTCCTGTGGACCAAAGAAAAGAGCCTCATAAATTAAAGGTTTGGAGGAGGCACATGATGTCAGAGGCTGCTCCACATGTAAAACATCAACTGGAAGGTTATATTTGTGATTATTAACGGACATGGATGGTAGTCTGCAGCCAAACTCAAGTACCTTAAAATCTGTGTTATTGATGTACTCAAAGACAAGCGCTGGTGTTCTGGACTGTAAAGAGAGGACAACACACAGCTTCACTGACAACAGCAGCAGGTACGTGGAGATCATTAGCATGACCAGATTAACATGGCTGACACGCAGACATGCAGCACACGGACACTTCACACTCACCACTGGGTCTTTGACTGTGTCAATCAGGCGGATTATGTTGGTTCCACCTCGCAGGTTTTCAAGAATTTTTATTTCCCGTTTGATCTTCTTCTTCTTGACGGGCTGAGGATGAAAACACACTCAGTCAGCAGCTAAAAAGGAAAAATGAAGACGGGTTGTTTCCAACACAGCGCTGGTGAGGTAAATTACCTTTAGGATTTTCACCACAACTTTCTCATTGTTTGTAACATTTATGGCCTCAAAAACTTCACTGTACTTCCCTCTGCCCAGTTTGCGCACCAGCTGATAGTTGTCTTGATTGCTGAAGAGTAAAAACATTTAGGAGTCAATAACAGGCTGATTCTGACTACRGTAAAGTTAAGACTCTGTACCTCCAGTTTGGCACATGCGTGTCGTAGTCCCAGTACTCTCTGTTCTTCTGTGTGTTGACGTCGGTGTACACCCGAGCTTTGCTGCTGGCCGGCGAGGATCCGGGCATGGTGAGCTTTGACGCTTCCCCTTCTGCTGAATACTTGTTCGCTCGATACTGGAAGGCAGCACAGCGGCTGTGCAGAGTTTGCGGCTCTAAGATCCCTGCGCTGTGCTTACCATTGGCCTTGGCTTGTGCTCTCTGATTCAAGGCGCTGATCCGGTCCGAAGAGGCTGCTGTGCAGACTGACAGAGCTACGATTATGGAATGAGTGAAGCCCCTGAGACAGATGTTGGGTAAGATGGGATGAAGAACCGCCAGCTGCAACAAGACAGAGGAGTCAAATCTGAGAGGTAATATTTGTGTCTGACCCGGCAGCAACTAGCAATTCATCAGCAAGTAAATGTGTGTGACTGTTGGCGATGAAGAGAAAAGCACATTTTCTGTTGCATTCTCACTGAATTCTGAGTATGCAGCTGGGAGAGCAGCAAAACGTGTGGCTACATTTCTGTGCGGCCTGTTTTAGAAAAACGTTACCTATTTTTATGTGCATGACTTGAAACTGTGTTCTAGGTCATGCACGTTATTTTGTTACTCACCTCCACACACTGTCCCCACCATGGCCAATTTTGAACCCAACTCAGCTGCTAACCCATGGTTATAATTTAATCTAATGAAGTACACTATTCCAAAAAAGATAGGCAGATTTGGACCAGTGTTTTAAAGAACTATTATTTACCATTAGTGTGGCTTTTAGACCTGAACTTTTAGGGCTGTAGCCTTGGGTGTTTTCAGTTCCAGGTCATGCTACTTTTTCCTATTGTGCCTTTTACACTTAGAATTAAATTCTGAGTAACTTATGCCCCTTTTCCACTAGTGCCACTTAGTGTAGTGTCGGTACGGTTCCAAGCCATTTCCATTAGACCAGATCCATGGAACCGGCACTTTTTTAGTACCTACTTCATTGTGGTTCCAACCGGCCCCAGCTGACACCAAAATGCGACGTCAGAACACTGTTCATCACCGATTGGCTAAATTTTTGCAAATGTTTAAAATTTCAAAAGTTTGCCCATTAATTTTTTTCAAAATACTTAAAAACCACCTCCACCAACCGCCCAAAACACACCCATTGGAACCGGACTGGAGCATCAGTGGAAAACCAACCGGTCCGAACCGTACCTACACAGACCGTTCCGACACTGCACCATGGAAAAGGGGCATTACATGACCTCTCACTTCTCATTTCATTTAAAAAGCACCTAAAAATTGGCTTTTAGAAAGCCATAAGTGTCAACACTGATTATATGCAAATGTGTGTGGATTTTATGTTTGGTATGTTTTTAAGGTGCTTCTTAAGACCCATTTTTATCCTATGGCATTTAAGTTTATTTAAGTTTATTTATTTAATTGTTATTTATTTCATAAAGGTTTTTTAATTAGAAATGATGCATTTATTGACTTCTGTACAGAACTTTGGTGTGGCTTCAACTGTTTTAAAAGTGCTTTATAAATACACCTGACATTGTTTTATGCATTTCTTATTCAGTAATGTTCTTATGTGGTTTTTATCCTTGTTTTTTTTATTGTTTAAACATCAACCTGCTCTAATAGGACTTGAGGTGGAAATTAGCCACCTAGCTTTAATCTCATGTATTTACATATAACGTATTGTCCCATTTTTAAAAATAAACTTTAACTAAAAGGATTTACTTCAACAACTCTGTGACCATTTAAATAAATAAATAAATAAATAAATAAATAAATAAATAAATAAATAACTTCAAATTTTTCAAGCACACAAACTGTGAGCCTCTACAACTCATGAGGTAACTGAGAACTACTACCCTCTGAGTCACAAGCAGCACAGTGAGATACTGTCTTTACTTTAGTCATTTGTACTATAGTAATACTAGGCTCAAAATGAGCTGGAACAGAGTGTAAACAAGATGAACTGATTGTAAAAAAAATTGTAGTGTAATAAAACCAAAACAACTTTTTCCTATGAGATATTTTGTAAGAAACATTTTAAAGATAATAATAAAGGAATTTTTAGTGCAGTGTTATAGTTAAATGATCTTTTTATTCTAAAAACAGTGGAGGGGGGAAACTGCAGCTACTAAAGGGCTATTTACTATTTGTGCAAACTGAAACAAACAAAAAAAGAAAGAAACTCAGACATTTCCAGAATTATATATTTTGTAGAAATCTCTATGTAACCATATTTTGAGAGTTGTTATCCTTCTTTATCATGGTTTCTCTAACCAATCTCTAATTTGTTTCCTACCAACCTACATTTTTAAGTTCAAACATTTACTGTGTAAACTTCTCTTAAATGATTGTCAATGCATGTTAATAAATTCTGATTCTGTCCCCTTTTTTCAAATAGGTTGTAGTACTAGATACTGTAGTTTACACAAATCCAGTAATAAATATCAAATTTAAAACGTTACAAAAAAAACTTAATAAATTACATACATGTTGACTGCATTACCTTCTCCAAGTGGCTGGTTATTAATCTATAAAGATTAATCAGTGTTATAAATCAGTTGTTTCCAAACTTTTTGTCTTCTGACCCACAAAATATCCATGGCAAAATCTTGTGACCCAAAATATTACTGGTCTGAGTACACGGCTTTCGTTAATAACCCTAAAAACACAGGCTTTCTGACAATCTAAACAGCTTGTATACAAATATAAATACTTATTTTTACTTATTTTGTGTTTTTGTAATAATTATAGGGAAAAATATTACATCAGCAATTATTTTATTACCCTTTATATTGATTTCTGGAGATTATCCAAGGTRCTTCATGACCCATAATTGGGTCCCAAGCCCAACTTTGGGAACCAAAGTGCAGTGGTTCCCAAACTTTTCAGCTTTTGACCAAATAACAGTAGCAGAGACCTGTGCCCCCAGCTATTTTTGGATGATAAACATTTGTATCAGGTCAACAAAACATGGGCATAGTAACAATATTTTTATACTATATTTATCCATTTTAAATATACTAACCTCACTCCTTTGTAACAACTATGGCAAAAACTCAGAAAACATTTTCAGGACCCCACCTTGATGTTTTGGGACCCCACTTTGGGTCGAGACCCCAACTTTGGGAAGCACTGCACATTAATGGGACACATCAGAGGTTCAGTGTCTCGCCAAGCTGATATGCTTTATATATAATTTACATAAAAAACACAAAATATGACAGATTGTCTTAAAACTCAGAGAATGAATACAGCTTGGAAATCCAACGTGTTTATTTATTTATTTATTTTTTTTTTTCATTTTTATCATTTTGTCTAGAACTGGAAAATAAATCTAAATCCCAACATTAAAACTCCATATGATCCCTGCTAGTTTGTGTCTAAAGCTATTCTAGTTTTAAACAAAGATATTAATGTATGTACTATATGTATGTACTGTATGTACTATATGTATGTACTATATGTACTATATGTATGTTCTGTACGTACTATATGTATGTTCTGTACGTACTGTATGTATTAATATCCTCAGACTGGAGCTGTTCTCCAGCAGGCCTGTTTAAATTCGTCGTAGTGTTTTGGTCCTGAAACGGTGAAAGCAGTTCTTCAACATACCTGAACGCTAAACTCGGTGTAAAACCAGTTAAATCTCCCAGTTAACCTGAGAGACTAGTAGTGTAGCTCTGTCACCAGATTAACTAGCATCATCTCTGATCAAATCAACGGTGGCTAACGATGCTAACCAGCAACAGAAACCCGGCTGGTTCAAACTAATCAAATGATCGATTCTGGCACTAAATTGTAGGATCACAAAGACATTTACCATCTGAATTTGTATTTCTGTGCACATCAAACACAAACAAACCGCAGAATATTTTTTGAGCGGCGTCATTTCTGAGGCTAAAAGTTAGCCGGCTAACCTCGTCGTCGGTAGTTTGAGGCGCAGAAAACGTCACCGGCGGTCGTCTGCTCGCGGCTTTAATTGATGTCCGAGGCGTGTCGCGAGCCCAGCACGTGCCAGGTGATCGATAATATCACTGATTTATTGAGTGTGGCGGAGATGGGTGGTGGTGGTGGCGGAGTAACATCCAGCAGCTCTGCAGTAAATATCACCCGGAAGTTAACCGAGCCGCACTTCCATCAGCCCACAATGGGTTAAAAAAAAACATTTAATGTTAAAATAATAAACTAATTACACTGCCGCATCTAACTGCATCCTTTTAAACTGTTTATAATATATACATGTTGTTTTAGACTGATAAAGCACACTAAAAATTAAATGCATTTATTAAACAAAAAAAAGTTGTGAAAATGATAAAATATCATACAAAAGCCATCATCCATCCAGTTTCTTTTATCTGCTTTTTGTTTCCGGGTCAAGAGGTGTCTGCTGCCCTGCAGGAGTCACTGTGGGGTCAAATTAAAGTCCTTCATCAGCATCAAACCTATTAACCAAATGAACTTTGACTTTATGTAGAAACCCAAAACACWCTATATTAGACAAAGTAATTTAATCAAACAGTTTGAAGATGGGGGATAATAGCAGTCTGTTGAATTTGACAGCAGTAAAATGAACTGGAGCAAGTCTTTTTAGCCTGTGGTTTCCTTTTACAAATAAAATATTTTAACTTTTTCTTTTCTCTGTTTTCATTTTGWTTTACTGAAATGGCCTGTTCTGGTCTTAGTTCAAATCGACAAAGTTTTTAATATTTGTGCCACATGTGTTTTAAATG